GCTATCGTCAGTACAGCATGTAAATTAGGTACCGTAAGTCTAATACAGCACTGTAATTTTATACATTTCTTGTGAAAGAAACATTTCTTATTCAACGGCTATTAAAATTATTTATATTAATGATGTCTCCAAAGTCCAACGAAGTTTTCGCAGAAAAATAACATCTGAAATCGCAGCCACGGTTTGCTGCGCTGTTCCGCGACGAAAACAAGCTTGAGCAACGGCGATGTCGAATGGGGCACACTCGGTAAGTAATCCTACAATTTTTTGTTTATAGCGTAGTTTATACGGATTATTTCCAAAAAAAATATACGTATTTTGGAAATGTTGAGTCGGATTAGTCTAGAATCGATCAATTTTATGGAAGAAAACATTTCAAACAGCCGTAGTCCGTAAACTTCACACGTGTCAAATACGTGAGCCAATCACAGCCCAAGGATTCCTACAACGCGAAATTCGTATAACGAGGAACGTATCTTTGCGTTATAGGAAGTCTACTGTAATTTTTAATCGCAACAGTAAATTGCTAAAGTTTTATTGTTGCCTCACTGATCAACTGAGATTTAAAAGTTTGGACCGTACTTGATGATTTCTGCACTTCTCTGTCTCAGCAGGGACGGTTTTCTTGGATCTGTCTTTTCATATATATTAATTTTCAATATAATACGTATGCAAAAATCTAATATTGTCGGGTTTTGTAATGATGATCTTTCATAAAGGTAAATAAAATTTTCGATTTTATAATGATCCTTAAAACTGAAGAATGAATAGACTTAACTTATATTAATTACAAAAAGGTATGTAAAAGTGAGTTTCTATAGGCCTATAGCAGTGTTATTCAACGGGGCGCGATATCGTCCCCATGTGGGCGTTTTTCCATGTTGAGAGGGCGATTAGTAACAATTTATATTTTCGGGAGGGCAAAAAACAATTTTCTGGGCGATATAGTAAAATATTTTATTAAGAATTATTAGATATTTTATTCGTTATATCGTACATCAATTAAACAAATAACATTATACTAGTTACTAGTCTATTCAATGCAGTACGAAGTTGGAATTAGCCTTGTCCCTCGGCATCGGAATTTTGTAGTGAAGGGGGCGATCTACGTAACGGTTTTATTGAAGAGGGCGACGATTCGTTACAGCTTGAGAAACACTGGCCTATAATAACGCACTTTTAACTACCTTCTTGTAATTTACATAAGTAACGTTCTATAATACAGTAATGTAAACATTGTAGAACATTACAATTCTAGATGCATTACAGTAGACCCCCCCTATAACGCTTAGATACGTTAAACGCTAATCGAATTTTACGTTGTAGGAACGATTAAATACATGAGCCAATCGCAGCCCGATAGGTGGGAACTTTACGGACTAGGCTGTTCGAAAGGTTTTCTTCTATAAAATTAACCGATTCTAGACTAATTNTAGGAACGATTAAATACATGAGCCAATCGCAGCCCGATAGGTGGGAACTTTACGGACTAGGCTGTTCGAAAGGTTTTCTTCTATAAAATTAACCGATTCTAGACTAATTCGACTCAACATTTCCAAAATACGTATACTTTTATGAAGAATAATCTGTATAAACTATGCTATAAACAAAAAATTATAGGATTACTTACCGAGTGTGTACCGTTCGACTACGCCGTTGCTTTTAAAGCTGGTTTTCATCGCGGAACAGCACATTAAACGGCAGCCGCGATTTCTAATAACGAATTTTTCGCATAAAAATAACTTGACCTTTGGAGACATCATTAATATAAATAATTTTTATGG